AAATTCAAATGAGAATATTTAAATGTTAGATGTGAGTCTTGCAATTTGCAAATGTGAATCTTCCAAATCTGAATTCTTGCGTGCTTGAAATCTTACAAGTTTGAATTCTTGTGAAACGAAAGTTTTGAGAATCAAATTTCAGTAAATTCTGGTGAAGATGAAAGGTTCTTATGAATCTAAACCTTTGACTTTCAAACTCAAATTATGAATCTTTGAGTTTTCATTACAAATTTTATCAGGTTTGATCTATAACTCTTCTAGACATGATTGTCGAAGAGCCTTTTACTTTTCAAAATTATAGTGCCTCTGTTTAAAGGAGCATTTATTTTTTTTCAAAGTCATTAAGCTTTTAATTAGAGAAGCTTTGTTTATTTTTTCAAAGTCGTTGAACATCTGTTTAGAAGAGCATTTATTTTTTTCAAAGTAGTTGAGCTTCTGTTTAGATGAGCTTTTATTTTTTAAAAAGTTGTTAACCTCTGCTTAGGGGAGCCTTTATTTTTTTAAAAAGTTGTCAGCCTCTGCTTATGAGAGCCTTTATTTTTTAAAAAGTTGTCAGTCTCTACTTAGAAGAGCCTTTATTTTTTTTCAAAAGTTATCAACTTCTATTTAGATGAGCCTTTATTTTTTATTTTTTTCTCAAAAGTTGTCAGCCTCTGTATAGGGGAGTTTTATGCCATTTAGCAGGTTTAAGTGTCTGATTAAAAAAAATAGAAAAAAAACATGTCAAGCTGATTATCTAGATATAAGGGGTGTCTACATCTTTACATAATTTTTGTTGCACAAAAACTGCACAAAGAGGGATAGCTATAGACACCTCATTTTGTCCGGGATTCTTTGTTAATTGAGACTAATCCAAGCTCGATTGTAAGAATTTTTATTCATTTTTATTTCAAATTTTTATTTCATATTTATCATTTTTTATTTTTATTTTATGGTCTATCTATTATATTTTTCCACCATCTGATTAATTGATTTAAAAAAAAAAAAGAGAAAAAAGTTGAAAGATCGAGATTAGGCTTGGTGATTGTGATGATTGTTATCTAGATGCTAAACAGAATTGAATTAAAACTCTATTAGCATGGTTTCATAAATCGTTATGATTCACAATAATGGATAGGAAGAAATCAGAGCAAAACACGTAAAGAAAGCAACAATGGCAGCCTTTACTTGACCATTATTTTCATCCATTTCTCTACTCTAGCCAGTAGCTTAGCTCAACATCACTAAAACACCTCTGTTATTGCCATCACCGGTTAACCAGCTAAAGTCCCAACATCACATTTTTCATTAATCAGCTTCCAGCAATCAAATCCATTTGCAATTGAAACCCATAATACCTATAACCAAAAAGCAAAAACAGAGTGGCAAGAAGCTTCAATTAGCCACCCAAGCTGAAAGCTAGTAAACCCAAATCACTCATACCCAAAAAACACCATTGATTCCCAGTAAACCCGAAATCAATTTCCAAAAATAGTAACCTAAACATACAAAAAATTCCACCAAAAATTAAACCTAGTTAGAAAATCAAGCAACTATAGTAAATGACGGCACAATTCACCGGTGCTTTGGTATATTCAAGAGAAGGCCGACAATGGGTGATTGGTGGAATCTGTGGCGACGATCTTTGAATGATTTCTAGGCTGTTGATTGAAATCTAAGAAGAAGAGAAAGTTAAAGGGATACGTGAAAGAGAAGGAATCAAAGCAAGCATTTGGGTTTTTAAGGAAGATCGATGGTGACGAAAGGTGACGAGCGAGCTTGGTGGCTAGTGCTAGGCAAAGGCTACGATGGCTTCAATCAAGATCTGGGCTAGGTTATTCTTCTGGTTAGTAGAGAAAAGAAAAAGAAAGCTTGATATTTGGTCATGGGTTTGAGCAAGAACAATGTTCTAAAAAGTCTCTTGATGGTTTCAACTTATTTGTATGGTGTTTCGGACAGTGGTGATCTCAAATTTTTTGTTTAGATCTAGGACTTTCTAGAGGGATTCTAAAAAATTTGAGCTAGTCACACAAAAGAAAAGAAAGAGAAGGCCAAGACGAGTTTGGTGACAAGTTTCAAAGCAAACTAGTGATCAGACGATGGCTGGCTATGCTCAGCATAGACAATAGTAGGATTACGTCAGAATCTGGGAAGCTTAAAGCTTTTGGTTACTTTTCTCTGGAACCTAGAAAGAGAGGTAGGGCAACTGTTTCTTAGAGAGAGAATAAAAATGGAAAATGAATGAAAGAGTTGAAAAAAAATAAAATTTATCGTGCACTTAATACTATGTCGTTTTGGGAGCAAAAAAGAAATAGGATCTGTGAAGGGTCTGCACATTAACCTATCAGTCAACTCGACCTGGTCACACTCTGCCCAGCAACTGCATCCTGTAAGCTACAAACCAATTCATTTTTTTTACAATAAGTCGAGTTAGTTGAGCCCTCTAAGTCGCACTTTAATCTAGAGTCGATTGATCCAAACTAATCCCCTGAGGCTAAGTTACAATTGTTTTTGGTATTTCATTCTTCTTTTTGTTATTTTACTTATTATTTATTACTTTTTTAATGATTTTTTTAAAAGAAAAATAAATAAAAATATTTCAAAAAAAAATAATTTTGGAATACTAATTTTTCATTAAAAAAAATTTTTCAAAAAAAAAGTTGAAATATCAAATTTTCTTTAAATAGAGAATAAAAATTTCAAAAAATATATTTTTAAGGAAAAGTTGAAAGTATCAATTTTCTTAAAAATAAAATTTCTAAAATAAAAATTTCCAAAAGCATTTTGGGGGAAAGTTGAAAGTATCAATTTTTTTTAAAAATAAAATTTTAAAAATAAAAATTTTCAAAAGCATTTTGAGGGAAAGTTGAAAGTATCAATTTCCTTTAAAAATAAAAAGTTTTAAAAAAATATTTTTAGAAAAAAATTGAAAGTATTAATTTTTCTTGAAAATAAAATTTCTAAAATAAAAATTATCAAAAAAAACATTTTGAAGAAAATGTGGAAGTACCAATTTTCTTTAAAAATAAAAATTATCAAGAAAAACATTTTAAGGAAAAATTGAAAGTATTAATTTTCTTTAAAATAAAAACTCCCAAAAGCATTTTAAGGAAAAATTGAAAGTATCAAATTTTCTCGTACAAAAGTAAACGAGTTTTTTTTTATAAAATAAAAAAATTTATATCAAAAGTTGAATCATTATTTTATTTCTTTTATTTCTTGAAATTTTTTTTATGTTAAGTAATCCGACGATAGAGTCTCTACAAGTGAAACAATAGTTTTCTTGCATATTATTGAGGTGAGGGAATTTTCTTAATTTTTTGTCAAAAGTATTATAGTCAATTAAAAATAATTTTTAATAATTAATTACTTGATAAAATTTTAAGGCTTATCGGATAACATGAAATTAAACTGGTACCATCTTTTTATGGGCGTTGTGAGGGTACTATAATTTTTCTCACTCGTAACCGAATTTTCAAACCCTATTTTAGTTAATAGACTCGAACCTATTCTTTTAGAGACCTTTAAGCTTAGGTGTTCTTTGAATAGATAGATTCCTTAGAGAGTCAATAATACCTAAACAAAAAAAGATTGGTGGCAACTCCTAAAGTCAATGTCTAGCGATAGATTCTCAGATTTATTTGTTATGACACTTTTCATTTTGAAAAAATTAAATCATTTTATATTTAAAAAATAATTAATTTTTTATTTATAATTTTATTTTTTTAAATACAAACCAAATATAATATAAAATAATAATCATTTTATCTTATACATTATTTTATATACCAATCATAGCTTAAACTCGTTATATTATTTTGTTGCAAAATATATCTCATACCTAAAAAGTATTTATCTCAAAAGTTGAATCATTATTTTTTTATTTTATTTCTTTTATTTCTTGAATTTTTCTTTTATGTTAAGTAATTCGACGATGGAGTCTCTACAAGTGAAACAGTAGTTTTCTTACATACTCTTAAAGTGAGAAAATTTTTTTAATTTTCTATCAAAAGTATTAGAGTTAATTAAGAATAATTTTCAATAATTAATTACTTAATAAAATTTTAAGGCTTATCGGATAACATGAAATTAAGCTGGTACCATCTTTTGATGGGCATTATGAGGGTACTATAACCTTCCTCACTCGTAACCGAACTCTCAAACTCTATTCTGGTTAATAGACTCGAATCTATTCTTTTAGAGACCTTAAGCTTAGGTGTTCATTAAATAGATAGATTCTTTAGATGGCCAATCATACTTAAACAAAAAAAGATTGATGACATCTCTTAAAGTCAATGTCTAACAATAGATCCTCAGATTTATTTGTTATGATACTTTTCATTTTGAAAAAATTTAATCATTTTATATTCAAAAAATAATTAATTTTTTATTTATAATTTTATTTTTTTAAATACAAACCTGATATAAAATAATAATAATTTTATCTTATACATTATTTTATATACCAATCATAGCTTAAACTCGTTATATTATTTTGTTACAAAATATATCCCATACCTAAAAAGTATTATGTAAATGAAGATGAACAGAAAATTTCATATGATTTTTTTGACAATTTATAATTTGTAATGAATTTTGTGTGTTTAAAGAAGGCGAGGATGCAATATTGCTTATATTATTATTGAAATAAAAAACATTCAAACCACCAAGAAAGGTTCTTCCCCTTAAACCATACCAGTCTAATCTAACATCAACCAATAACACTCGTATCAAAGGCATATGCCCTTTCATTTTATCATCAACTGCTTCCCTTGACTTGCACTTATTTCAGATGTTTTACGTGTCCAAAAATCATGAATTAAACTATTTAATTCAATAATAATTATAAATATTTTTAATTTACAAATGAATTTAAAAAGAAAGAGCGTGTAAGTCACCGTGAGATTCGGATTAGCACCCTCAACAAGGAATATTATTAGTTATTAATTTAATAAAAAATAAATATTATTTCATTTGCCAGTAAAGAAAAAGCTACTATATATATATATATATTAAATTTGAGTCCGAGATAAAGCAAATTTGATAAGTGATTAAAGAATTTGTTTTTCGTTTTTATTAAAAATTTTTTTTTACGGTTTGGAACGGTAACCCGTCACGATGAGGAAAAACAAAATAGCCAAAATTTCCTTTTTTTTTTTCTTTTTTATTTTTTTTGCTTTCTGTTTAATTTTTTAATTTTTCCGTGGTAATTTTCTCCTTCTCTTATTTCTGCACAAAGCCGGACAAACGCACCCAACCGCATGATTTCCTTTGTCTTTCTTCCTTCTCACAAGCACAACATTCACCATTTTTTTTTTCTTTTCTATAAAACATCATTCTAATAAATTTCTCTAAGATTTTCATCAAAAGCAAAATCGAGGTGCGTTTTCCTTTTCCTTTTTTCCTTTTTATTTTGTTTGATTTTTTTTAGTTAAATTTTTTTAACCGACTCTGATGAGGAAAGTTTTATTTATCTGAGGTTCGGGTTACTGTTTATTTCATTAGTTTTAGCTATTTTGATGTTTGATCTTGATTGTACATAAATAATCTGTAATGGTTTCAGCTTGTTTTCTTGTTCATCATTCTTAGATTCTCTATTAAAATTCTGTATTTATTAGAGATATTCACAAAAAAAAAAAAAGAAATTGCGGTTAAAAATGGTTTCCGAGTTGTGATCACGGCCATGATCATCGTCATCATCAGCATGAGTTATTTCGTTGTTGATCATCCGATAATGGGACTTGACTTCAAAGATGATAAGTTGTTTTGCTTTTGATGCGGTTGGTGTAGCTTAAAGAAAGAGATTTTGTTGGTGCTATTGTATTTAAACGCTGCTAATAGAAAGTAATTCAATGTTCTGTTTTTGTAGAATTAACTGAAATTTTTTTCTGCCTTATGTTCACAGAATCGTGATTAAAAGGTTTTTAAAACTGATACAAGAGTTCATATTCATATTTTTCAATGGGAATGCTTTGACATATGAAATTGTTTCCAAGTAAGTCATTGGGTATATTTTTCTAATCTCCTGCATTGTGTTCATTGCAAAAGATAAAGGAACAGAATTGGGCTTTGTGGTATATTATATCCTATCCCGTGGGTTACTAATTGCTTTCCTATTTTTATTCCTGTGTTTGCCCTCAAATATCACAAGTTCCCTTGCATGACTTCTGTGACAAGCTTCACATTTCATTTTTTTCTTGTCCAGCACATTGATGTTGTCAGTCTTGGTTTGGAGATTTAATTTCTGGAAGGAAATAGAAACCGATAATCATAAACTGCTCCCTCTCTGTTATAACATGAGAAATTAACTTTTATTCTTTGTTCTGGTTCAGATGCCAGTTCATGGCTGAATTACTTGTTTCTAGCATGTCCAATAAGTGCTTTTAGGTCGAGATGTTATAATAAATAGAATTGGACCTAGTTTTCTCTTGATTGACTTAGCACCAACTAGGTTTAGATTATTTTCATTATGCAGGGTTAGGGACTCGGTGTTTCGTTCTTGACCCACATCTTGAGTTTGCCCTTGAGCATATTAGTATGCCAGTTTTGGAAGAACAGCCCATCTACATTTGAAGGTATGAGTTTTTTATTCTCCTGTCTCCCCAGTCTATTTGTTTTCAAACTAGTTGTTTGAAGTTATACGTTGATACTTCTTACAGCTGTCAGCTTTTGGCGGAAGTGTGTCAATATCTGTCCAGAAATTGTTTTTTTAATTCCCTTCACTTTCCCTCTTCCTCTTCCTCATCATTTCTTGCAGTACCCTTCAACTTCAGTTATAATTCCTATCTTAATTCACCAAGCTTTTATCAATGAGTTTGCTTAGCTCAAAAAATAGTTCTTGATGTATGTGAAGCATTCTTTTGAATGGACCATACATAGGTTACTGGAGTTGGTAAATAGCATACTTGTGGCTGCTCCTGTTTCTGTTTTCTGAATTGCTAATGGTATTGCAGGAAAGCTTTGGTAGATTGGGAAGCTGAAGGAAAGATTTCTGTGTCTTCTTATTAGGATCATGTGCACTCATTTTGGAGTGTTATAAGTCAGCCTTCATACACGAACAGCAAATAAATGGTATTAGACCTACTACAATTTGCAGAATTCTTAGACCTTGTTCTGTTGGAATACACTTTGACATCAGGGTCTTTCTGCTCTATAGACTGGAGATTGCATTGAAAATGATTAAAAGAAAAAAAACCTAATGAATATAGTTATGCCATGATCCTAAATCCATCACATTTGACTTTCTGTGTTAGAATGCTAGATGCTTGGTGTAGAGTGTTACAGGAGGTTTAGGGATTGAGATTAAGGAGCTGAGAATAGTATCTTGTGGTGTGCAGTTCTAAGAAGATGTAATGACCTAAGAACCTAAGAACCCCGATGACATCTCCATGGCCTTTATAGGATCTGCCAAAAGGTTGATTTATGGTGTAGGGCATATGATGGCTTTGCTGAACGTTGAGCTTAGTATTGTCTGCTGGGCAACCATTGAAATGTGCTATTTATGGGACTTGGTTGGTGTTCTATGCGATGTCATGTGGCGTCTTATGTTGAAAAATTGGATACTTGGATGATGACCATAGGCAAGTAGTTGGGACTGTCTTTTGTTGCTTATTGGTGCATGTAGTTAAAACCTAAGGGGTTTGAAAAAATTTAGATGTTGAAATCATGCTTTTGGGGCTAGATGCCTGTGAGGAGGGACAATTATGCTGACAGTAATGGGATTCCGGTGATTATATAAAGGCCTGAGGGCTTCAGTTTCACATATTTTTATTGAGGTGGAGGGTTGAGTTGTACTTGGATGTAGTTACTTATTTAAGCCAATAGTTATGATTGTTACTGTCAAGATGCAAGGCAGTTCTCTTGATTGGAGAGCTGAATGCTTATTAAGTTTTGGTTAAACCAATTGTGTGGCTGATATGGTCTTCCTGCTTCTCAATATCAAAGGGAAATCTCTGGAGTTGGGTTTTGTGAGATTTTCGTGATTGATTGTTAGGCTTGCTTCTTACTTTCCTCTTTCTGAGGAGTGTTTTATTCACATGTTCTGGAAGCTTCTGTATTTCTAGTGTAATATCTTCCCCTTGATTTGTATTACCAAAGTTTCATGGTGAACTATTCCATGATTGAGAAACATGCCCTTAAATTGATGGCAGATTTCTTGTAAGTAACTAAACTTGTGGCCAATTGAGGCTTGCAACTTTAATATATATATTTTTTGTTAGTACTCACCTAATCCTCTGACCTTGGAAGTTTTCAGAAATACATTGTGAGGCACAATAATGTTCCTAAGAGATACAATTATGTACTGACTTCATCTCTCCAAATGTTACATGATAAAAAAAGGTACTGTAGGAATCAATCTAGACCTTTCATATTGAGGCCATATATGCTTTCAGTGGACGGGATCTTACATTAGTGATGGTGACTGTCACCTTTATAATTATATCGTTTCTTATTATTTCCATTTTTCTTTTGGTGATCTTTTTATGTACAATATAATTTATTGGTTTTAGATGATACTTTTAGTTTCTGTTGGAAAATGTTTCTCTTTCAATGATTGTTTTGGGGTGAAAATAACAGTAATCATAGCAAGACTATATGTATTTGCCCACAATTACAGATGTGGAAATTTATGTCTCCGCTTCGTGTATATGAACATATGGTCTAATTAGCTAACTTTTCTCTTGTTTAGGAAACAATACATACATCCATGTGACATTTGACTTTAGTTCCTTATGAAGATGAATGATTTCAAAGTTGTAGCTTCACTCCTATTTCTCCTTGTCAATTTCTTTGAGGATGAGGATGAGGATGATTGTTTTTGCTAAATATTACTGTTCCATGTTTATCAACTTTTTTTCCCTTAAAAGTTTGCAGCGTACTTTAAATTTAAATCTTCATTTCTTTGGCCAGGGGTCTATCTCATCCCTTTTGTATTCTTCTAACTTATCTTCATCATAGATAGGTATCAGTTCCCCCCTTACAGAGTGGAAGTTCAATGTCATGGAGGTTACTTCTTACAAATTGATTTCTTTTCTTTTAACGAACCCAAAAGAGGAAAGAAGGAAGTGATTCATTTAATTTTATCTTGGTTTAATAATTAATTTCATGACTGGAGTGAAAGGTCTTACTCTTCTGCTCTTACTGTGGCTTTGTGAACTTTGTGGCCATGCTTGGTTAGGTGATGACTGTTTCATCCCTTACAATCTGCTGTAAGTTATAAATCAATTCCAGGTGATGTCCTGATGAGTAAATCCTCTACAAGTGTGAATCTGAGGTACTATTTTAGTGGGGTTATAGGGTTAATACTGGCAACCAATTTAATCTATATTTAATTATTAAGTAGTGTTCTCTATCTTGCCTTCACTTTTTCCTTCTTCTTTGTTTCTTGCCCCAGATTATGAAGGATGCTCTCTCCAATTTCATGGAGAGGAGCAATATATAACCAGATAAATGCAAGAGCCGGGACTATGGCTAGCACGTCAATTTATAAGAAGAACATAGTCGTGCAACTGGGTATTTAGGGTTGTCAACTTCCTGTATTTGCAAAAGTCTACTGCAAAAAGCACCCTAAGCATTGAATGCTTTTGCTGCATCTTTATTTCTTCCTATTCCTAAGTATCAATGTGACTTTGCTGTTCCTTTATGCACAGTTTTGATTTAGTTGGGCCAAAGCAGAATGTTTTTGTAGTTAAAATTCTAATCAAGATGTCCCTTTCACGTATTAATTTGTACATGTGCAGTGTAGTGGGTGACCCTGTGAAAAAACACTTATTTACAGCTGATTATAATCTTGTAATCTATATATTTATATTTTTATCTCTAGAATTAAGTGTTTGTATCCCTAGAATTAAGGACAAAAATTAGGATAGACAATCCTTCAATTATAGGATCAGTTTTAAGAAGATTTAGTTTTCTAGTTTACTCACTAGTTGGTTGTATATAAACCTAAGGTGCTTGTATAATTCTCTATGAGCAGTTTTTCAATATATATTCAGTTTTACTTTTAGTTTTTCACACAGTTTTATTTCTTAGTTTTTCCACATGGTATCAGAGCTAGGATTTTCTTTCATTGCCATTTCCTAATCTGTTACATAGTAAGCTTTTTTTATCTTCGCCTACACATGATGGGGCCTGTTAAAGTGGGTTATCCCACATTTAATAAATATCTAATTTCCTATAGTCTTATATTCAGGTTAGGTCCCTACACTTACTGCCAATTAGTTTTAAGTTGAATGCTTAACATAGCATCAGAGATTTAGGCTCTTCTTGGGAAGAAAATTTTTTCAGCCTTCATTGCTGAATTCTATTTCAGGCTTTCACAACCAAATCTTCTTAAATCTTTTAGTTTTATTTTTTCCTTCTTTGGCCTTCATTGCCTAGAATTGTCTCTAGTTAAACCTTTACTATCAAGATTCATTTTAGTCTTGAAAAAGATAATCATGCCAGAGATTGTAGAATCCGCCACTAATACTCGATTTGCGAAAGTAATAATTGGTAAAACCACTAGAGTACTATAAAAATCTCAGGAACAAAGAAAGTTGGACAAAGAAGAGATTGAGAAACTAAGAAGCCTATTGAAAACTCTTGAAAAGCCTATTGGGGTCTATTCTTTGGGTAAGGTCTCTAATTCAGGTAAAGCTTCTGGTTCTCATGGATTAAATATCTCGGTTAAGCCTATTACGAGTTCTTGGGTCATTGACTCATGAGCCATAGATTATATGACACATTCCTCATAGAAATTTAGTATATATACCTTGTGTCATAGTAATATGAAAAATTGTTGTTGCAAATGGTTCACTTACTCCAATGGCAGGATTAGGAGATATTTAAATCAATCCCTTGTTTGTTCTTAAAAATGTTCTTCATGTTCTTGAATTGTTTACTAATCTAATATCTGTACAAAAACCTACCAGAGATTTGAACTACAAAGTGACTTTTTATCTTTCTTATTGTGAATTTTAGGACCAAAGTTCGGGGAATAGAATTGGACTTACTAACAAGAATGATGGATTATATTATCTTAAGACATCAAACAACATAAGTAATATCAAGAATAGTTTTCCTTTGTCATTTCTTTCTAAAAAATCTCCTAATAAAGACAAAATATGGCTTTATCATTTTCATTTAGGACATCCTTCTTTTGGAACTTTGAAAAACATGTTTCCTTCTTTGTTCAAAGGATTAAATGCCGAAAATTTTTATTGTGATGTTTGTGAACTTGCAAAGCATAGATGTGTCTTTTCCAGTTAGCAATAAAAGAAGTTCTACTCATTTTTACTTGATTCATAGTGACATATGGGGTATCTTTACAATTCCTAATATTTTTAGTGCAAGGCTGTTTGTTTCTTTTATAGATGATTGTACCAAGGTCTCTTGGATATTTTTATTTAAATCCAAATCAAATGTAAATAGTTTGTTTTTAAGCTTCCAAAACATGATTCAGAATCAATTTGGAGTGAAAATCAAGAGATTTAGGTCTGATAATGCAAAAGACTATTTCAACCAAAGTTTATCTACCTATTTCAAAAAGGAGGGGATTATCCATGAGTCATCTTGTATTAATACTCCACAGTAAAATAGAGTGGCAAAGAGGAAAAACAGTCATTTATTAGCCACAACCCGACCTTTACTTTTTCAAGCAAATGTACCCAAATCTTACTAGGGAGAAACTATTCTCATTGCCATACATATTATAAATAGGTTACCTTCAAGGGTTTTGGGATTTAAAACTCCTATGGAACTACTCTCACAATTCTATCCAAACTTGAATGTCACAAACAATCTTGCACCTAAGATATTTGGTTGTACATCATTTGTTTATGTTCACAATCATAACAAGAGAAAGTTGGATCCTAGAGCAATTAAGTGTATTTTTGTGGGGTATTCATCGACTCAAAAAAGGTATAAGTGCTATCATCCTCCTACCAAAAAATTGTCTGTAGAGGTCACTTTTGAAGAAAGTAAACCATTTTTTATTCAACCTTATCTTCAGGGGGAGACTTCATTCATAGAAGATAAGGATAAAGATTTCTTTTTGCTTGATTTGTCCTCCTTTTCAACATTTTCACCCATTAATTCTTCTAAGTCGAACCCTGTTTCTTCTGAGTTCAAGTCAAACACTAAATTTAAGTCTAAATCCATTCCAAACACAGAAGATGTGATGAAGGATAATATTGTTTTTTATTCTATGAAGGAATTACATATGTACTCAAGAAAGAAAGTTTCAGATCCTAAACCAGTACAAGTCCAAGAACCTAATCTTAGCTCTAGAAATGAGGTAACTACAGTCTTTGACCTTGTTTCTCAAACTGAGCATGAATCTGCTAAAACTATAACTAGTGATTATGATTTGCTTATTGTCATTGGGAAACGAACCAAAGAATGTACTAAACATCCATTATATTTAATCTTTAATTTTGTGTTATTTGAAAAATTCTTATTATCCCACAACAATTTCCTTTTGAGCCTAAACACTATTTTCTATTCCAACTACATTATCCAAGGCATTATCCAGTGAGAAATGAAGGCAAGCCATGAAAATAGAAATAGAGACCTTAGAGAAAAATAAGACATGGGAATTGGTAAAGTTGCCTAAAGGAAAAACTCTAGTTAGGTGTAAATAGGTTTTTACTGTATACAAGAGGGTTGGTACTGTGGAAAGGTATAAAGCTAGATTGGTGGCTAAGGGCTACACTCAAACTTATGGAATGGATTATCAGGAAACTTTTTCTCCAGTTGCCAAGATGAATATAGTTAGAATTTGGTATCAATAGCTGCAAATTACAATTGGTAGCTTCAACAATTTGATGTAAAGAATGCTTTTCTACATAGTGATTTGGAAGAAGAAATATATATGAAGGTTCCACCGGGATTTGGAGGTCATCTGGAAGCAAACAAAGTATGCAACCTGAAAAAAGCTTTATATAGCCTTAAACGATCTCCTAGGGCTTGGTTTGGAAGATTTACCTAAGTGATGCTAGCAATGGGATATAAGCAGAGTCAAGGAGATCACACGTTGTTTATCAAGCACTCTGATTTAAGGAGAGTCATAGTTCTATTAGTGTATGTGGATGATATAATTATAACCGGAGATGATGAAAAAGAGAGAGAATCTCTAAAACAGTATTTGACTAAAGAATTTGACGTAAAAGAGCTAGGGAGATTGAAATACTTCCTAAGAATTGAAGTAGCTCACTCACAGCATGGTATTTTCATCTCACAATAGAAATATGTGATGGATCTTTTGAAGAAAACTAGAAAGCTCGCATGTAAACCTACAAATACTCCTATATATCTTAATCATAAACTTGGAGAAGCTGATGAAGATACTGCTGTAGATAGAGGGATTTACCAAAGATTAGTTGGAAGACTCATTTATCTCTCACATACTAGACTTGACATAGCATATGCTATAAGTGTGATAAGTCAATTTATACATAGTTCTAAAGAAGCGCACCTATAGGTTGTATGACATGTATTGCACTATTTGAAGGCCAATCCTAAAAGAGGTATCTTATTCAAAAGAAATTCAGGGCTGGTTCTAGAGGTATATACAGATGTTGATTGTGAAGTTCAGTAACTGAAAAAAGATCCACCTCAGGCTATTGCACTTTCCTAGGTGGTAATTTTGTGACTTGGAGGAGTCAAAAACAGAATGTGGTGGTAAGATCAAGTGCTGAGGCAGAGTTTAGAGCAATAGCTCAAGGAATTTGTGAACTACTATGGTTAAAGATTATCCTAGAAGACTTGAAGATCAAGTGGGATGGATCAATGAGACGTTACTATGATAACAAGTCTACAATAAGCGTTGCACAGAATCTTATGCAACATGACAGAACAAAACACATTGAAGTAGATTGGCATTTCATAAAGGAGAAACTAGACAATGGGTTTATTTGTACACCGTATGTATCAACGAAGGGTCAACTTGTAAATGTGTTGACGATAGGGCTCAGTAGTGCAACATTTCAAGAAATTATTTCCAAGTTGGGAATGGAAAACACCTATTCACCAGCTTGAGGGGGAGTGTGGGAAAACATTTATTTACAACTGGTTGTAATCTTGTAATATGTATATTTATAGTTGTATCTCTAGAATTAAGTATTTGTATCCCTAGAATTAAGGGCAAAAATTAGGATAGACAATCCCTCAATTATAGGATTAGTTTTAGGAAGATTTAGTTTCCTAGTTTACCCACTAGTTAGTTGTATATAAACCTAAGGTGCTTGTATAATTCTTTATGAGCAGTTTTTCAATATACATTCAGTTTTACTCTTAGTTTTCCACACTGTTTTATTTCTTAGTTTTTCCATGGACCCTATGTGCTGGTCCTGCTGGAATGTCTCTGTGATGTATATAGAAAGCTTGCTTCTATAGTTCTATTGCTATTTGATTTCAAAAGATTGATATTTATAAGGCAATATGTGTATGCTGGTTCTCTTTTTGATAGTGCTTGTCACCTCATCCTTTTAGATTTTTGATGGCACAGCAAAACCATCTTCTCTTTTAAATGGATTAAGCAGTTAAAGCTCAAAAGGAGGGTAGCTTTATATTCAATATATCTCTGCTGAGTGGCAACTGGAAACTAATTCATGATATAACTAAAAGATGTAATTCTTGATGTTCCATTTTTCTACATTTTGCTGCAGATATATGAGACCCTCAACATGATTGTAGTTGTGGAAGTTCTTGATAAGAAATGAAATGTGGTAAAACTAGTGTATGATGCTTGTAAAAAAGGACAATGGGATGTTATGCATCCCCCTTTTCTTTTTTTTTTCTAATTTTTCCTGTTGTTGGACTTTAAATATTTTCAATAAGTCCTCTGTTCTCTTCTACTTATTTGATCTTTTTTTTTTCTCTTTTTGCAGGTTGACTCTTCTTCTGGAATATAACTTATCTTTAGCTTTTAAGTGACTTGTTTATGGGGCATAGACATTTATTTGGCACATCCCAAATGTTTGGGAGTGAACAGGAGCAGGGCTGGAATCATATGCACACGGAACAACCTTATGCAAATCTAGGTATTGTTATTTTCATGCCTTCACTTTTGCATTTTATTTGAAGGGCGATAAGGTTGATGTCGATCACAAATAGATAAAGATTTACAGCACGAAAACATGTTTTCAAGGTGGTTTGAGGTTGAACTGATCATATTCTCCTACCTAGAGAGTTGGGCCTAGGTTTTTGGTTACGCCTTCCTTTTGCATTTTATAGGATCCTCTGTTTGAATGCTAGCTATTGTTCTAATGGCTATTACTGCTTCTTGTTTTGTTCCAGTGAGGGCAAGCACTACAGAACATGGTTCCTTCTTCTGTCCTGTGGAAAATATGTCTGTTGATGCGGTGCAATTTTCTTCTCATTGGAATCCTGTGCCTAGGTCAAGTGGTTATGCTACCTCAAGCCACAACGTTGAAGCTCCACATTATCAACCTGACACTTCAGGCCCATCTCATGATCTTTTTTTGCATACATCACCGCCTGGAGCATTTGGTGCAGGCCCTGAGAACTACATGCATCATGCATCTTCGTCCAATTATGATAGGCAGACTTTCCATGGAATTGAGGGTGGTTTTGTTGATCTAACAATGGGCAGTGGAAGAGGACCTCACAAGCGAAAAAGCCCTGGAGTCTCTCCAGTCTTTGAGAGGGGTGGTTCAAGCAGATATGTTGGTGCTGGAAGTTCATCTGATCTTCCTCTATCATCTGAATTTTGGCAAGAGAAACCCAATGAAGATGCTCAACACATGCATTGGGATCATGTTGCCCCGCCTCCCAGTTACAGAGGCAATGGCCTCTCAATTAGGGGTGAGGGTTCTATGAGGAACGTGAGAAGAAGACCAGCACTTGATCTTGAGTCCAACCTAGTTAGGACCCATTTATCAAGCGATCCTTCTCACACTTCCTGCACTACAATCCACCCGGTTGAGCATTCTAGCTCAGTGGATCTCTCAGGTCAGAGCTCTAATGCTTTGTCAAGAGAGTGGGAGTGGGGTCATTTGAGAATGTCTCCTAGTCATGGAAGGATTCAAGCTGCAGGTTAGTTAGGTGAATGACTCTCTGTGTCATGGTTTGGATCTCCTATTGTTTCTGAGTCTTTTGCTGGTGATTGCAGATTCAAATGTTTTTAATCATGAGACAAGCCACTTTCTGGGTGGTAGCAGTGCTACAAATGCTTCTGTAGAGGTTGGGCGACTTCAGCATGATTTCATTTCGGGTAGAAATCCTGTTCTTCCTCAGAGTTTTCATGGCAACTCTGCACAATCTCTAAGGGGTGTTCGCACAAATAATTCTCAGAGATCTAGCCCAACTTTCAGGGCTTCTTCCAGCAGTGTGCGCTTAGGACATGCGGCACCCTCAGATGAGGGGATGCAGGTTGTTGCTGAAAGTTATTCTTCCAGACATTCTCGGCCGTTGTCAGCTATAACATGGCATAATAATGAGCGGAATGGGAGGTCAAGGATTTCTAATGACAGATACCGATCTCTAGCCAATGATGCAGCTTTCCATGATCGATTTTCATCTGAGGTATTTACTGCTTACAAAGGAATTATGTTCTTGCATTAGCAATTGAGGTGGACTCACATGTCCTCTAGTAATAGTTTGAAAACCCATTAGACACAGCTTTCAGCATGCTGCATTTCTGCTGAAAGTGTTGTTTTGTTTCACATTGCTGCTCTTTTTGGACTTTATTGCTTTATAAGCTCCCTTAGTTGAATGACAGTGGCCTGTTCTGTTGATGTGTAGGCCGTGATTACCTTTGCTTATTAGTTTTGATGATACTAATATAGCCAAATACTGATAATCAAGTGTTTTGCCAATGACAGGAAAAATTCTATTCGGTAGCAATTCCTTTTTATGAATTTGCCAAGTAACTTTCCTGATTTAATGTCACTAGCTGAATGGTATAATTTGTTTTCACTCTGCAGGGTTTTATGATTGTGGACCGCTCAGCCTATTATGGATCGAGAAATATGTTTGATCAGCATAGAGATATGAGGTTAGACACAGACAACATGACTTACGAGGTATGTACATTTTCCCCTTCTCTATTATGGTGTTATTTCATTCTTCTTATACTGTTTTGTTTTAAATGACCTTGGATGATTCGCTTGGGCAGGAACTACTTGCACTAGGGGAAAGGATTGGCAGTGTTAACACTGGCTTGTCAGAAGACTTGATATCAAAGTGCTTGACCGAGACAATTTTCTGTTCTTCAGATCAATTCCAGGATGAGAGCTCTTGTGTGATCTGCCTGGTAAGAATTTGATTCTGTTTGAAATGTAAATATCTTGGATTATTTGGTATGATTCAACATGTCAATAATGATCCCCACTTGTCCGAGTTGTATCATCTAAATACAATTTTTTTTTAACACTCTATAATTCACAGGAAGAATATAAGGACATGGATGAAGTTGGGGCATTAAACACTTGTGGTCATGATTACCATGTTCCCTGTATCAAGAAGTGGTTGTCAATGAAGAATACATGTCCGATCTGCAAAGCCTCTGCTCTGAAGGAGAAATAATGACTTTTTTTTATTGTGGTTTATCATTTTATCATTCTTGTATATATATTTAGAGACTTGCTCAAACTAAATCACACAGACATTGTGTGGGAAATTCTTGTATATAAAATCATTTATCATTCTTGTATAAAATCCAAAATTCCGCAAGGAAAGAAAAATTTGCCATCCACTTTCTGTCATCTTGAATTACAAATAAGTTTGACGTCGGTGGGCATTGGGTAATTTCGTTGAAAATGGAATAGAGGAGAAAACAAGAAAGCAGAAAATTCTGGAGTCAATTTGGAAGTTGAGTGAGTCAGCCGTCAGGTAATCAGCCCACTCATCTTACCTAACTTTCTCGTTTCCTCCACACCTTTCCTTTGGACTTTAGAAACCCAAACTGCCCTTTCAAGTCGGTCACTTCTTCTCCTATGTAGTCAACCCCTTTTGTAGCGAAACAAGGCAAATCAAAATCTTGCGTTTTCTCTTCTATTGCAATCAGTTGTCTCATAGCCTTTTCAAAGATGCAGATCTTCGTGAAAACCTTGACCGGCAAGACCATAACTCTGGAGGTCGAGAGTTCTGACACGATCGACAACGTCAAGGCCAAGATCCGGGATAAAGAAGGGATCCCTCCTGACCAGCAGCGTCTTATTTTCGCTGGGAAGCAACTTGAGGACGGGAGGACCTTGGCTGATTACAATATCCAAAAGGAATCGACCCTTCACCTTGTTTTGAGGCTTCGTGGAGGAATGCAGATTTTTGTCAAGACCTTGACTGGAAAAACAATCACCTTGGAGGTGGAATCTTCGGATACAATTGACAATGTCAAGGCAAAGATTCAGGACAAAGAAGGAATACCGCCAGATCAGCAAAGGCTTATCTTTGCCGGTAAGCAATTGGAGGATGGGAGGACTTTAGCTGATTATAACATTCAGAAAGAGTCTACCCTTCACCTTGTTCTTCGCCTCCGTGGTGGGCAGTAATTATTCTAAAAGAAAGGAACTGTCTTTGTTTTTAGTTAAGATTGTTGTAATTTTTAATGTTTGATTTCTGGGTCTTATCTCTTTTGTAAGATGTTAATGTTAAGTTTCTTTAAGTGTCCTCTGGAATAAAAGTTTGATGATCGTTTCTTACCTCTTTTTCTGCCCTGTTTTTTTCGAAACAAATGCCTTCGAATCGTGAAGATGGAAAATAATTGAATAATCTCATTAACAAAAGGAGGCTTGCTTGAAAATTTGGTTGGCTCTTCTCTGTTATTGATTTTTTTATCAATTCTTTTCAATACAACAATCATCACTATTAAAATCAATAGAATTTCAAGCATAGTGATGATTGATGTATTGGAAACTATTGGTTTTTGGTATTAAAAAAAAAAAAAAAAGTTCAAATGGAATTTGTCTACTTCTGACAGATAGCAACTCTCTATTATTTCATCTTCTTGTTCGTTGATCAAATGAGAAATCATCAGGTTCAATGTCAATTTCGTGGTGGGAAGGATTATCTGCTTTATTAACAGCTTGTAGCTCTAGGACATGACCCTTAACTGGCACTTCCATTTCCCAGCCTTCATTACCAAAATCGGACCTCCTTGGTGATGTTTGGGAACTGTCTAGTTCACCTCTATGGTTGCGAAGGAGGTAAAGAGGGGACACCCCGCATGATGGAGTGTCTGGCCTGCTTGACAATGGGGTTATGGTGCCTGAATGCTGATTATGTTTAATGTGTTTCTTAGCTTGCTGGTGCCAGTTCCTTAGTGCATTTGCTACTCTCTCATTGAAGATGGTAGGCTTCATGGTTGAACCCATCTGTTTAAATGCAATGCAAAGAGTAAATAAAACAAACTGATATTTTTTGGAAATAAATTAATACTTGTTTTCCGAGCAGCATGGTGTTCTCAACATAACATATTCAATCATTTTCACCTGTGTCACCAATGCATATAGAGGAAGAGTCACATAGCTGCATAGTATTTGTATGAGCATCCTGTCCAAATAAAGGTATAGCTAGGACTGTTATCAGGGAAGATTGAAAGAAATTAAACAGAGATGTGAAATATGGTAAATGATGAATTTACCCCATTGATATCCTGATGATTATGCCTTCTCGTTTCTCATGGAAGCAAGATTTTGTGCCAAACTCATACTTCAAAAGGGAAACAAGAAATAAGAAGAGGAAAGAAGAAGATGGTAAGGGTAGTCAGTGTATAGGAATAGCAAGAAGAAGAGAAATCCTTTCAAAAGGATGAGCTCACTCACCAATGTCCATACCAGGAAGGCCAGTTGAAAAGCATTCTGTTAAAAGTCAGAAAAAAAAAGGGGAGGCTTAGTATTTCCAGATATTGATTTGAGGCCACATTTACATATTTGAACTTGTGAGAGGAAACACCTGAAAGAGGACAAAATGAATGAGGTAGAGCAAGAGGTGAGGACGGTTGAACCAAAATAGGTCATTCCCTGGCTGCACCACTGGAGTGCCCTTCACTACCTCTCCCCTTTCTTGAATTCCTAGTCCCATTTTAGTTATCACAACTTGAAGCTTTGTTCCCACCAGCAGGATCATCTGCAGAAGCCATAACCATCATTAAACCAATTCAAAGGGGATTATTTAGATAGATAAAGCTGAGATGCTTACAATTAGAGGGAGAAATGGCAACCATAGATAAGAGTAAGTGCCTGTCCAATGTCCAATAAATTATAAGAAACTGTCATAAAAAGAAAAGGAGATAAGACAAAATAAAACATCGTCGGTTACCATGCGTGTTGAACATTAGGAATAACACAGCAAAGAACCAGATGATTGGGCTGCCAGCACAAGAAGGAATGTTATCAGTATTTATGTTAATTGACTTTACAGGATCTGGCAAAGTATAAAAATAATACTGGCACTACTAGGTTAGATATACAGGCAATTCTTAAGGCATAAAAACAATACAGGATCTGTCAAAGCATAAAAAACCTTCTTACCATTGCACTCATGAATTTTATATTTAATTTTTTTCCCTTTTTTGAAAGGTGTAAGAAGTTCAAGTACAAACTTCAACAAAATGATAGCCCAATATAAACCTTTTCTAGAGTAACATATATATTTTTTTTACACAAGGCTTCTAAAATTTGAACTTAATCACTAGAATTAAGAGTCTAACATTTATCATTTGACCGTGTAACTGTTGGAGGTTACATTTTATTTGAAATAGCTTTTTCATGCAACAAATAATATTTTTTTGCCAATAGGACTAACATCTTTAGTTTAATTTATTTTTGGGAAGCCGACTAACATACTTATTAAGAATATATTTAAATGTGATATTAACAACTATCACATCCAAAAGAACTCAAACAATCAGGATGTGGAATTAAAAAATTATCATGTGCTATGAAAGTTGAAGATGTTGATTAGCAAAGATACTAGCAGTCATTCACCCATATATTGGTCTTGAAAAGAAAGTGTAGGACTTGTTTATAACAGCTGGATTAAATAAAGGACTTTAAAGCTTTACTTGATTCCAACAACAACTTTGAAATCTTCTTCAAGTGATCTTTTAATGTACTTCTGGAAATCGAATTTCACCTGACTCTGGGGTGCCAAATGTGCCTAAAAAAATCGAATGTGTCAAAGATATAATAATTTATGAGGAAAAAAAAAAACACAACAACAACAACAAGATGATTATCTGAAAGTCTTACAATAATGAACCCATAGCGTAGGGTCAAGTAATCAACTTTGGGAACTGATCTAAAGAACTGCCTGAAAAAACAAACCTGCAATTTTGTGAAATGCCATCAATTCTCTCATTTTCTTATACTAATTTGAAACTCTCATTGAAGAGGAACATTCCTGTTAAAGAATACTTAGATTAAAGCAATAAAGACAAAGAGTATCAATGGAGGATTTCTTTGCTCTTACTATCCACAATAGAACTGGTTTGCGGCTCCAAAAGCTCAAGTGCCTTCGACCAAAAGTTGTATCCCTTGCAAATCTGAATCTCTCAGGGTCTGCAGGAAGGACCCAAAGTTATTTTGATCATAATCAAGAAGTTAAAGAAGACAATGTTCAAGTTACCATGTGAGAACTGATAGTCGGTTGTCCTAGTTTCCTTTTCCCATGCCTTCCATTTTCTCATCTGCAATTGGACCAGCATTTGAATCAAACAGATTGAGGGGAGTAGCCATGGAAGACAGAAACACAAGAGACAGAAAGAGAGAGAATAAAACCTTAGCTCTGCCTAATGCCAGGGTGGTTATACAATAAAGCACATGGGAAATTGCTAAGACAAATATGAACATATGGAGTTGGTGGACACCATCTTCTGAGACAAATGGAACTTTACCCTGCAAGATCTTAGTTCTTCAGCAATTTGAATAAAATGAAGAAACAAAAACCAAAGCCAAAATCAAATTCAACATGCCTTGGCTGCACATTTGTCATATTCTGCTGCTGCTAGAACTCTCCGATCAATACCACCAGAACCTTGAAACGTTAGGAGCCTTCTCAGTTGATTTTCATCCGAATCTGAAGATTTCTCTTTGTCCTCGTCTAAATCACTTTCCTGTTTCTTGCTGCATGGATGCCATGTAGCCCCTACAGCCTTTGATATGCACATATTAGATATAGTTCCTTGTCCCACTGTTAGGAGCAATGATACGAACCCCAATAGCATAAGTTCTGAAAGTAAGAGACAGGCAAGTTCTCTGAAAACCATAACACAATTTCATTTAACCTTAAATGGATAAACTATACATATTGTACATGGAATGACAAACCTGATTTAATCTTTTCAAGTGCTTCATAAAGTGCTCGTTTATGTCTCTTTTTTAACCACTACAGAGAACAGAAAATTGAATTCATCAAACAAAAAAAAAAAAGAAGGAAAAGACTACTCTGAAAGAAGCTGAAAAATCATAGCTAGCTAGTATGTTATGAGGAGATCAAGGTATTCTTTAGCTTAAATTACCTTTGCAATTAAGTGGATGACATATTCTATGATAAATGAAATCAAAACCAGCACGAAACACACAACCGCGACTGCCCAAGTTGGCGTTTGCTCTAAAGATCGACTCTCTTTAGCTGCTGCCATTTTAGGACACTGAAATTTCAAGCACAAAAACTTCAAGGACAAATTTTTGGCTCCCTGTGCAATAACTTTTTTAGTTCAGGCAATAGGGCTTTTATAAGCTTGTTGGTATATATAAAAGCACTCATATTTATAGAAAGAATGAGACCTGGTAAGCGCATATAAGACTTGCGAAGATGTTGAAACCAGTGAACTCTTGAACGAGAGTATATGGTAGAAGCAGACCTTGACTTGGAAATCTCGGGGAACTTCTGACGTCACAAGTTATATTATGCTGCGATACTGCTGAGCTATATGCATCATATTTTCGTATTGAAATTAATGAGGAAGACTTCATTTTCACCATTTATATCAGTTCTCATCTAAGTTTTCATATGAAAAATCATACATGGTCATTATGCCATAGATATCAGCATCCAACCTGATATTGTTTGTTTTGACTTAAGGTCTTATTGTTTTATCTCACAAAACTTTATTAATACAAGTTATATATCTATATGTCATAACGGATCTTAAAAATGTCCAATCTGGTACGGGAGATATTATGTGAATTTTCAAGGAATTTTCCAAAGAAAAGCATCAAAATTCTTCTTGATATTGCTTCTAGTGAAATATTTCGATGTAAAAAGGGTAATAAGAAGTATATTGAGATGAATTAAACAACCATAGAAAGAGGAAGGAGCACTTTGGCCGGTCTGATTCTGGACTATCAACGTTTGTTGTGGGAAGCTGATCAACGTAATGAGTGGGAACAAGACCTTTGAAGTTTCTCAGGATTAAGCATTGACGTTGATCTTCTAGGCCACCCAATAACCTTTCTCCCATTGAAGTATAGACTATTCCACTAAACTTACTGCAATTTTTCACAAGTAAGCTTGCCATGTTCACCAACAATTTCTAAGAACCCCGATTTTGTTTTTCATGGCCAAACTGACAGGCACGTCTTATTTCAAACTTCAAAGTCAAGAGGTCTATTAGCCCACTGTCGAAGGCACCCACCTAAACTCGACCTCTATAACACGCTCATAACCATCCCATGCCCATCACTACCCATATGCGATTCTGATGACTGGCCACGTCTTTCAGAGATAGAACCATATCGATGTTGGAACTTTAGAGACAATCAAAGTTTACTGCTATTAGCTCTACAATCACACAGACCCAAATAATCTTCTTCTTTTTGTCTGCTGCTACAATAATTAATAATCTTGAATAATTAAACTTGGTAATTGGTATGGGATGGAAACGTGCTTTAAACTTGATAATCAAAAGAATGTTCAAAGCTAGAAATCTAGAAGCAAAGGACACATGCTCTCCCAGTTAAGAAAAATGTGCGCAAAAAGGAAATTTGATATCAATTTCCTCATTGATCTGATATATATCAAAATCAATCTTAATAGGCAGGCTTTGGTTCATCTCCCTTTTTTAACAACAATTTCATTTTCAATTAATTGGAACATATGTATCGTTTACCATAAGAAAATTGAAAAATCAACCTTTAACCTACCAAGAACCTACTAAATTTACTTGTTTTGACTTCCATCTCGGCTTTCTTGAAAACATATTAATCCATAACCCAATTTCTAATTAGAACTCAAGACTTTTGATGAGGATATATATATATATATATATATATATATATATTTATTTAGTGTAGTTGGAACCTTGGCTAAAATTAAGTCAATCACTATTCACCGATGAGTCCAAGAACTTCCACGCCCAATCTAGTCCACTATCATTTTGGACTAAGTTCAAAGGTATGGAAGAAATTAGTTTCAGACCCCAAAAATGAGAAAAATGCCCAATCTTGCCCCCGAGCATTTCGGGCTAAGGTAAAAGATTTAGATTTCCGGAAGCCTAATGTTAAAGCCCAAAATAACTAGATTCAGACCCAAAAAAGAGTGAGATAATGGCCCTAAACGAAAATCATAGCACTAGACCAAATGCGAAAATTTGTTCGTCATAGTTTTATACAACCTACGAAATATCCAAATTAATGAAATCAACACCTAGATTTCAAACGTTGTAGTATACCCTAATTTACGGACTTTGTATTCTCCAAAGATTTAATAGATTTAAAGGAAACTCAAATTATTAATTCTTCTTCATTTCAACTGTGATTAATTTTTTGAAAATGTAAATCTAGTTGCTTTGTACGGACAATCAACTTATAAGATATTATTTGTTTTAATTTAAAAATATCATAATTTTATCTCACAAAAAATATTTTATAATTTTTAATTTTAAACCTTATTTATATATCATTACAGATTTTCAAAATCTCTCAATTTAAAATTAAAGTGTCATATTAAGTTGCATTAGTTGTAATTTATTTCAATGCATACAAATTATAATAATTTTTTTATTTTTCATTTTCGGTGGAAAGAAAATTTTGTAATATAGCAACCTTAGTACTTAGGGGAAAGTTCAATTATAGAATCCAATACAAATTTGACAATCTTTGTTTCTAGCAAACAGAAAGCAATTTAATTACAATAATGGAGGCAATAATGTAAGCAGTGACTTATTTATTGCAGTCAAAATTTTTTAAAAATTTGATGAAATTTGAATTATGATGACGCCCTGATTTGTAAGAAAAATGAAAAGAAAATTAAAAAAAAAATTTAATTCAAAAACGGAATTATAAAAAGAACAATGATTACCAAGCACTTCTTTTATCTTTGGAATCGTGAAAGAATAAGAAAATATTAGAGTCTAAAAAATTAATTTGTAAGCCCTATATTTAAATTGACTAATGTTTTATAAGGTAATTCAATTTTAAGTATAAATATTTAATTTAGCTTAGAGTCTAAATTAATTGGGTTCAATTTAATTTCAGGACTAAAAGCTCAAAGTAATTGGGCTCAAATTTAATTCAAGCCTAATTTTTAAAATTATATTTTTTCTTTGTTTATGTATATATATATTTTTATTTATCCTTTTTATTTTATTTTATTACTTGTTTTATCTTACTTATTTATTGTTTATCTTTAATTGTATTTCTTTATATTTATCTAATTTTTTAAAATTTATCTGGTTATTTAAAAAACTAGTTGAAAAAAAAAATGAATGACTATAGATTAAAAAGGAGTGGTTGGTGATAATATAGTTTTATCATGATAAAATTTAAAGTTAAAATTTTTAACGATAAATTTTATTTTTTCATGATAATCTTAATTTTTGGAGTTGGAATCAATCTGAAATTTTCTTTATTATGGCCTATAAATAGACATTTAAATCACAGAACAAAATGACACAACAATCAGAAAGCAATTAGAAAGAAAAAAAGTGAAAAAAAGTTACAACAAGAGTTTGACAACAATTGGACCCAAAATCTTGGTGTAATTACTGAGATTCCTACAAGTAATCTCAAAATCTAGCAACCCACACCTAAGCAAAGTCGAGCCGCTTCCTAAGCCTTTTCAACAAATTCCATGCCTGCAATCAAACTCTACTCCAATCATCAAGCCGAGCCATGATGTTTTTGTATTATTTTTTTTTCTTTTTCTTCATTTTATTTTTTTTATTTTTATGAGTTTTGTTTATTTAATTATTATTTATTTATTTGTGATATATTTCATTTGATTTTTTTTAATTTTAGAAAAATTGTTAGAGAAGTTAATTTTAAATTATAACAAATATAAAATAAAATTTTAATAAGATTTTAAGAATAAATAATAATTATCTAATGATGAAATTTTAGAAATTACAAATGGTTCATTTTTAGAAAATTTATAGGTAAGAAATTTTTTTCTAAATTTGACACAAATGGAGAAAAAATTTAAATAAAACTTAAATAATAATAATTAACATTTATTTTCAAATTTAAATAAAAAATATAAATAAATTTAATAAAATTCTTGGAAATGAATTAACAATTATTCCAATGATGAAATTTTGAGAAATTTCAAATGGTAAATTTTTTAAAAAATCTCTAAGTGAGAAATTTTTTAAATTTAACCCAAATTATGAAATAATTTAGATGAAATTTCAATAAAAGTAATTATATTTTTTAAAATTAAAAATTAAAAATATGATTTTAAAAATTTTTTGGTGTGAATATATAATAATTATCCAAAAAAAAATCTTAAGAATATCACAAATGGTTGAATTTTCATAAGATTTTGAGGTAGAAAGTTTTTTCTAAATTCAATCAAAATGGTGAAAAGATTTAGATAAGATTTCAAAAAAAATAATTGTTATATTATTTTTCTTTTTTTAAAGGATAAATGATGAATAAAGGAAGACTAAATTTTAGGAAAGATATTTCTAAATTAGGCCCAAATGGTGAAAAATTAGAAATAAAATTTATAAAAATAAAATAAATTTCGATGATAAAATTCTCAGTAATCGCAAATGGATGATTATTTAAGAGATTTCTAAATGAGAAAATATTTCTAATTTTGGCCTAAATGGTGGAAAAGTCAAATATATTTTTAATAAAACAAAAATTTAACAAAAAATAAATGATTAAGTCAATTTCTAACGATAAAGCCTTTTTAAAAAAATAAATAAGATTCTTGAATACTCTTGATGTGAAGAGGTATTTTTAAAAATTCTGTAAGATTAATGGAGAATCTTAAAAGTTATTTTTAATATTAAATTTAAGACCATTAGAATAATAAACCTCTATGATAATTTAAAATTAAATGGTACATTCTTTTAGGGTGGGCATATGAAGGTGCTATGACCTTTTTCATATGTAACCAAACTCTCAAACTCTATTCTAATTAGTAGACCAGACCTTATTCTTTAAAGACCCTTAGTCAAGCTTAGGAAATTCTTAAAATAATAGCTTCATTAGATGATCAATCACACCTAAAAAAATATTGCTCCTTAGGTTGTGTCTAGCTATAGATTTATGGATCTATACGTTATGACTGTTCGACTACTTCATTGGAAGACATAGAGAGTCAGGCCATTAATTAATTTTAAATTATCTTAACTTTTGGTTTGGTTGATCTTGAATTATTGATTATTCTTTGTTGGCATTAACTTTATTCTTTAACTTGATAAAATTACAAATAAAGATATATGTTTTCCTTTACACATATTATCACGTGCATATATATTACATGAGCTTTACACCTGGGTTTTATCCCTCTTAAGAGGGAGTAAAGTACTTACGTTCTTGTGAGATGATAATCTCCCTA